CCCACCCTCTGGAACGAACTACCCCCCGAGATCCGGACGATTCCGGATCTCTTAACCTTCCGCCGCACCCTCAAGACATGGCTTTTTCAACAAGCGGGCCTGACCTAAGGTGAGTTTTAAATAGGGACAATTTTTAAACAATTTTAAAGAGCCACAGCTACCAATATTTGGATTTTAATTGGTTTTTAGCAGGGGAAAAATTTTTTTTTTTTTTTTTGTACAATGTTTTAATATGCTGTGAGCCGCCCTGAGTCCCATGGGGAGAAGGGCGGCATATAAATTTAAATATAAATAAATAAATAAATAAATTATATACTTATTATTGGATTATATAAGGAAAACTGCTTCATTTTATTAAACTCTAATTTACCCAAGTTAATATTTCATTTATTTGCATATCTTACATGCCAAAGATAAGTTAAAATGTCACCTCATATTAAATTAATTCCTTATCCTTTACTTTCCTACACAAACAAAGCACCATCCATAGGATCCACGAAACCACGCCTCTTCCAATCCACAGAAAAACCTCTCTCCACAGAACCAGTCCCTGGTGCCCAAAAGGTTGGGAGCCACTGCTTTATCTTAACCTCATGTTGATTATAAGTACAACTAGTCCTTTGTTAATGACTACCTTGTTCAGCAGCAGAACGTAGAACTATCCTGAAAAAGTAGGTTCAACATCCTTGAATTTATAGCTGTTGCAGTATTCCCATGATCAAGTGATTGTGATTTTGGCATTTTACAACAGGCACACAATGATCGCCATTTGCAATCTTATAGTCAGCTTCCAACAAGGAAAATCAATGGGGGAGCCAACAGTAATTTCCAAATAATTTCCAAATCATGGTTACAGGACATTTAACTTAATGACCAAGTGTCATTTAATGACTAGAGCAGAACTGAACCTGTAAGTCAGGCATGGTCAAGTGATGTTATACTTAACAACCGTATCGTTTAGCAATGGAATTGCCAGTTCCAATTGCTTTCATTAATTGAGAACTCCCTGTATTTCTACATATCCAGTTTTGTGTACACTTTTTTGAACAAATGCAATCTTAAATTTGTCCTCTTTTGAATAAATGCAGTAGTCTTTAACTTTACAACTTTACAATCTAAGGAGCAACTGAGCAACTGAGTGAATAGAAAAGCTTAATTTTCATATCTACCTTAACTTTAAAGAAGTAGTTATATTTTTTATCAACAGGATGGTATTTTTATGTATATACATGAATTATGCTTTTCAAGAAAAGCTCCAGCCTGCCATGACTATGTATATGTACTGATTAAAAAAACCCAAATAAGACTAGTAGCTGTTTATGAATGAGAAAAAAATGGTGTAGCTTGTGGCTATCCCACTGAGACTTTCTCTTCATATGTATCTTATTGATAAAGTGCATAATCAGGAGAGCTTACATCCATCCTCATCATCAACACTGTATCCTGGAAGCCAATGTTTACAAATAATTTCTATATATTTTTGAGTTTGTATACATGAAATGATTAGAGATGTATATTTTATTCTGAATTTTGAAGAAAATAATCTTACAGGTTTCTAGCAAAGTGTTCTGGATGTTCCAAAAGAACAAAACTCAAAATGTTTTTACTGTATTTTGCTTTTAGTATCTCACTATAGCAAACAAGGGGCTTAATACTTGTTGGATGTAGGATGATAGTACACGCTGAATGCTATTATTCAATTCGTAGAAAGGATATGATTTAAATACAATTTCATAGTGGAAAAAGTGGAAATAAACATGTTTTTTACAACTTGTCTTTGTCAAAACAGATGTAGATATATTAGCTCTTGTGCTCTTCAGCAAATATCTGACTTGGAGATAGTTGCAAAAAAAAAATATGAGGTAGAACCAATGTCTCCACTGCTCAACAAAGTTTTAGTAGCTGTGAACAAAATGCATAGAACTTTATAGCACCGTTATGCATTTATTATAAATTGGACATTACTATGCACATTCCTTTTTAAAACTGTGAGACTATTGGTAATATTTTACAAATGTTTAGTGACTGAGAAAAAAAATGCCAGTCAAACTTATTTTCTCTTTTTAATAATATAGAAACCTATCAATCAATATTTGAAATTATTTGTAATTTTCTGATGAATTTATGAAAATATGTAGCATGTTTATATCTAACTGAGGATTTAGATCCAGCCTATAGAAGATTCAGTTTTTGGAAATTATATAAGAATCAAAGGGGCATATAGCTGTCAAATGTGCTTTTGGAAAGATCTATTAAAAAGTCCAGTGTACGGTTCTACTTATTTTTTACAAAGAGCATTGTAGTTTTACATTTTAGTGCTCAAATGCTTTAGCATAAAAAAATCCGGCCAAGTATACTCTATGATTAGTTAAAAAAAATTACAGTAGGGATGTATCTAGCTTCCCATGATAATAAGCATGATTTTCAGGGCTGGGCAAGGTTTTGGAGCTACCCAAATAAACATTGCCCAGTAATCTACTTCCTTCATTAAGAAGAGGAGTAAGATTAGTTTCTGCATAGATGACCAATTTCTATTACCTATTTAACAATATACCTTTATTATTAAGATACCTATTTTTATAGACTCCAATAAAAGCTGATTTAACAAAATAATAGTTTGAAGGCTCCTTGGAGATCTTTTAGTCCAACCTCCTGTTCAAGCAGGAAATCATAACATTTGAGACAAATGATTGTCCAATCTCTTCATTACATTTAACAAATAAGTCCATTTGAGTGCACCAGAAAAGGATAAATTTATTCTGAACATTTTTAAAATTATACATTTTTTAAATTTATATTTTCTTTTCTTTCTTGGTTATAATGTTATACACTTATAAAAAAACATAGATATTTATCCCAGTTTCATGCATACAGTATTACGTAAGCATTGTATTTTTTTGGATCTGAACCAGTTTTATAAACTAATATGTATGCTTTTATTAGAGCACTGTAGAAAAGTAATTTCTATTATTTTTATCAGTCACAATATAAGATAAATTCCTTTTTTGTATTTACATTTTTATATTTTTATATGCAAAACACATTCATGATGATGTTCTCTGTATATTTTATGTTTTAGGATATTTTTTTTAAATTCTAATTCTGAAAACAAAAAAAAAATTGTCAGAAAATCTGATCCCAGAATCTGAATAAAGAGGAACATCATATATCCCTATTAATCCATAATAAATATGAGAACTATGTGTTGACATCAATCCACCCAGATTTCAACATTTAATTATTGCACAAATACATTATTTATCATCTGTATTGTTTTCTTTTTTTCCCCAGTCTGCTGCTGAACAAGCCAAAGCTAGACTACAATTGGTCCTTGAAGCTGCTGGTAAGTAAGGCAATGAAAATATTAATTAAAAAAATAAAGTAAGATAGGTTAATGTTTACTTCAACAGCCACATTACTTATGTTTGTTATTGTTATATAGTTAATAAGTCAGCCCTGGTATATTATATGATTAATTACTGCCTTTCAATATCGAGATAGGTGTAAGAATTCATTTGAAAAAAAGACAGTGCCAAAATATCCTAAAATTAGTACAGAGGAAAACTCTTTGTCAAATCCATAATATATTGTTTGCTTTATTTACTTAACCTATTCCAAATTGGAATAAAATTCCAATTTTATGCTAAAGTTTTGTTTGCTTCATCCAGTGTCAAGACTTTTTTTGTTTTAATTTTAGATTCATTTTTAACTTGAACCTCAGGATGAAATGATAGTTTAAGATATCCTGTTTTTCAGAATATTATAGATTCCATGAGTTTTATCCATTTGGATCAGATACGTAGTTTCTAAAGATTATTTCAGATTCTTTCAATACTGTAATATTTATTTATACTTTTATTTATGAAGTATATTTGTATATTCATGTAGAACATTGCTATATTTTCATTAATGGTAAAAATTGAACTTGTGTCTCTAATATATATACAAACTTGCTCCCTTTTTATTAGCATTTTGGAAAGATCAAGAACATTACTGATGTAAATAATAATATGTTAATTAATAGTAATACATTTTTAAAAATCAGTGTTTAAGAATATATTTTAAAGCATATTTTAAAATATATAAACAATATTATGTCTAGTATTTCTTTATTTTGAATTCAAAAGGACTTTTAAAATATTATATTTATGTAGCAATTATGTATTTCACCGAACTTTTGCCTTCAAAAAGTCTTTTATATAAATTATATTACATGATGTTTGTATAGATTACATCATTCTTAACATTTTTAATGTTCTTCATAGTTTTCATTTTATTTACAGATTATATATTTCTTTATATAGCTAGAGAAATAACTAACCAAATAATTTGTTTAAAGAAAGCAATTTTATATCCTTAAGAACTTCTTCTTTATCACTAATCATGACATATTTGAGTGACTTTATTTACTTATTTTTTCAATAGAATAAATAAGTATTGCATTATTTTAATACAGTTTAACAATATCACAGCAATGTGCTCTCTTTGAGCAGATGTTAAGCAGGCAGTTCCTGAATGTTAATTCTGAGAGGGTGGTATGTTTAAGCCTATCTAAAGTATGTTGCATGTGGGCTTTCCAGGCTTAGTTACAATGCTGTCTCTCTTGGGAGAATTTTAAAGCTAAACCTCTTTCTTTTTGTCACTCTATATGGACTCTCTCAAGTCAGTATAAAGCAGATCATCCCTAGGCTAAACCTCTTCAGCTTTTGTTATTGGGCTCTGTAGGCCTGTAATTAGGCCTCCTGGTAGGCCTTGCAGCCCAGTTAATGGTCATATGGAGTTTCTGTGAGGCAGACTGGCTTTGTATAAATCCTTCGCTGGAATATATTTATGGGTCACTTCATACCAGGACCGTGTTTTGTCCTTGTGCCCTATAGGCTGACAAGGAACTGGTTCCCTTGACCATGGACAGCTCAGTTTGCTGCTCATAGTCTACTCAACTAATCCCCAGTGTAAACAGAGGATTTAGCGTGGCTTCTGTCACTTACAGTTGCCAAATCACTTGGGTGTCTGTGATTTCTTTTCCAGCATTAATTATTGAATGATGGAGAACAGTAAAAGGTTTCATGGTTGTTTGTACATTAAATATATTCTTCTTGTTTCAAATACTGACAAGACAATATTCACAATATTAAATACTTCATCCCAGTAGAAATGCTGCTAGTTCAAAACATATTTGAATAATCCATATTTTAAATGAATTTTAAAAATGTATATTTTACAAACATATTATATGTGAATATTTCCAAATAATTAGTTTCTGCTAATCATATAAAAATATTTTCTAAAATTTTCTATGCTGCAAAGATTCTTTTCTACTTATAAGAACAATTGCAGAAGTTGATTGATGTGTGCTTTCAAAGTCCTGAGTTGAAATGACTGTCTGATCTGCATGTGGAATCTGCATTTCAAACCTGTTTCTAAAAAAGCATGCAAACTACTATATTTTAAAGATAGAATTGTTGATGGCTTAAAGCAGACTTCAAATAGAGTTGTTAATATGACATTAGCAATATGTGGTAAAAACTGATGGAAGAATTATTTATGTTTTATATATAATGGAGTTGTTTGACAGTTTATCTGAATGTTTAGCTGTTTAACTCATTATGTTCTGATTATACAGCCAGTTCATTTAGTTGTACATCACAATTATTTTTTAAAAAAATCTCTGTAAATGAATTGGATAGTAAAACACAAATATATTAATATTAGATGTTGCAAATGCAGAACATTTTTCCTATGATTTTCTTCAACATTTCATTAGAGTATGATAAATCTGTATGCTCAGTCTTATATGATAAGTGGTATACAGTGTGTGGGGCTAAGATGTTTCATGACAGATGTGGCTGAGGAGACCACATACATAGAATATATGATTTTAGTCTGGTGGAACTAATAGGATCATTCATTACTTTACAGATCTTTCCTTTTTTGTTTCTTTAATGAAAATTGTTTAGTTAAATAGGGCAGTCTTTTAGCTCAGTGCTTAGTAACTGTGCAAAGCCAGTTTTAAGATCAGCTGGGAAGAAATAAAATATTACAAATGTCTATTTAAATAGTATATATAAGAAATGATTAATTTAAAAAAGAGTAGTATGAGATTGCTTATATTTCTATAATATTGTCTTTAATATTAGCTCTATTTACATTCATAGGGCTACCTCTTAGGTTTTCTTTGGAAGGTAAAATTACCACAAATGGAGTCTGTGCACTTCTTTCAGTAATTTACATTATGAAAATAATATAATAATATAAAACCTATATCAATAATATTAATAATGTTCTATCAAGTCCTTGGTGTATATTTAAAAGTTTTTATATGTATTGAGATTTTAAAACCTTCCCTCTAATTGCCAGTGATTTTTTTAGTAATACTAAAAAAATGCTGGAACAAGAAATTGGCAATATATTTTGGATGTCTTAGAAGAGAATATCATAGATCAGAGTTGAACTGTGACATTCTTGGTGCTCTCTGAACTTGCTTGTTTGCTTGCAGACATAGGGAATATCATTAGTGTGAGTAAGGAGTTTGTTGCATAGTGGTGGGGATCATGTGAAATAAAAAGCATTTTTATCTCCCCTGTCTCCCTTTTAAGACATAATGGCTTCCAAAAAAATAAACATTTTGCCTATTTGGGATGTAGCTATCAGGTGCAAGCAACCAGATCCACATGTTTAGCGTTCAAGTTAACTACTTTATGGTAGCAGTCCCCAATCTTTCTGGCTCTATGGACCAATGTGGTGGCCTGTGGGGGGGGGAGAGGAGAGGGTTGCACCACTTACACAAATGCAGCGTTGCGAGCTCACATGCTCGCCCACCACTTGCATGGCCTGGTTTCCACCGGGCCACAGCCCAGCACCGGACCAAGGATTGGGGATTCCTACTTTATTGCATTCTTCCTATAATACAGGAATCTCCCCAGATTACTTGCCTTCTCTTGGGAAGAAAACAGATAAGGTCCCATAGGTTAATTCCTCGCTTGATCCATCCTCCTCGTCCAGCTGGCAGTTTCCCAACAGTAGTTGACCTAATAGTTTCTTATTTATTTGTTTGTTTATATTTATATTCTTTTTTATAAATAACTTAAAGCAGCAAACATACCTAATATTTTTTTCTTCCTCCTATTTTTCCCTCAACAACAACCTTGTCAGGCTGGGCTGATAAGACAGTGACTGGCCCAAAGTTACCCAGCCATATTTCGTACCCAAAGCAGGATTAGAGCTCAAAGTCTTTTGTTTTCCAACCTGGCACCTTAACCAAAATATCTAACAGGTGAAAAACAACCAGTATTTCTTCATCTGAGCTGATGTATAGCTGAACCCTGAGGTAATATGGGCAGCCTATGAATTAAATAAATAAATAAATAAATAATAACCATATTTCCCATGTTTTGTAAATAATGCCAAACAAGAATCTAATTCATTATTCTAAAATATTGTATTTAAAAGGGTGGGGAAAGCATAGGTGGAGAGTTTGAAGAACCTTTTAATTAACTCTTGTGTTATTTAAATTTGATTCATTTTAGTAAATGTTCTCTAATTGATTATATTCATCATGCATCTTTTATCTTCCAGTCTTCATTTAATATATAAGGTGAAATCTCTTGAGTTTTCTGTTCTTCTTTGTCCAAGATTCCCTAGCAACTGATAACTTGTTTAGAGATAAGGACGAAATGTCCATTTGTATCTTGTCTGCCATACATATACCCACATTGTCCTTTCCTAAAACAGATTCCTTACATTTATTTGTGCCATTTCCTTTCTGCCCTTCCAAGCATATTCCTTGCACATCCCACTGAAGGTCAAATGTAGAGATAGCCCACCTTTTGCAATGACCTTAAGTCTGAACATGGAAGTTCCTGCATGTGGGCTGTAAAATATCCTGGATTGCTGCCTCCTCTCCTTAGTACTACCATTTCTCATGAACCAGGTCAATCCTGATAGAAAGAACCTGTAGGTGGACTAGTTTACCCTGTAATAAAATGTAATTATAACAGTGTTTAAAAAAAAGGTTATGTTGTTGCTTATACAGTTTTCATGTTGTTTCCTAAAAGTTATTAAAAGTTTTCTTCTTCCTTGATAACCTCTATAAAAAAAACCCCAGTAATATTTGTTCTCAAAACTATAAGTAAAAGGCAATATGCTGCCTCCTTCATTCCAAAAGAAATAAATAATAAAAGTGATTATATGCAAAAATCTATGTTTCTTCCAATTTGGAAGGAGGAATAAAAAAAATAGTTCCAAGTTAGGCTACATAAAGTCACAGAGAAGACTCTGCAGAAGAACCTTCACTTTTCTTCTTCAGTGTAATCAGTCAACTAACAGTAAACATTCCAACATTTC